TTACCCATCTTTGATAACCGATCATCCATGGCAAAGCAGAGAGGCAGGAGCTACGCCCCTGCCAGAGGGGACAGGTTATGTCTCCCCAGGAGCCTGTTTCTCCAAGGCCTCCTGATTATTTCCAGCCTTGGGGCCTTCCAGCCTGTCAGCGGGGTTACAGTTCCTGAAACCAGGCCGGGCGTTTCCCAACAAGTAATTTAATGTCTCTGTGCCTCAGTTTCTGTAAAATGCAATAATATTAATAATAATAACACCAATGATATCAAAGAGTTGTTTTAGGATTAAGAGAGTTAACACATTCAATGTGCTTAAAATAATGGCAAACATGAAGTGCTAAAAATCCTATTCAGATAATGCTTTAATCCTTCATCCTTTATAGCTTGCTGGGTAGGGACACCTGGGAATTAAAGGCCTTGGATAGTGTATTTTTTTCTAAAATGTGTCATTAATGTTACCCATTTGATAGCTATATCAGGGAAAGAATAATTAGATTATAAAAAATCCTGGATTCATGAATGTGACAGTAGTGAGATAGATGGTTAGTACAACTTTTTTTGTTTCCATTTTATCTATTTCATCCAAATGAAGAGGATTAATGGCCTCTAAGAGTCTTGTATTACATTTTTTTAACTAGTTAAACAAAATTAATAGGCTAAGAAAAATTAAAATATACTCTCTATCAATTTTAGAAACTGGCCCAGAAGCCCTTCTGCCGCAGCAGGATCATGGCCAGACGGCTGCGCGGCCCTTCCGGCCTCCTGAGAGCTTCTCCGGTTGCAGTCCTTCCACAGACTAACTAGCTCACCCTTAACACGGCACTGTCACTGTAAGATGTCTTTTAACCATGGGCAGCTGTTACTAAGGTTGCTACTGGAGTTACTGCTACTCTCTACAAATACAGCCCTTTAAGGAGAGCCGGGAGAGAGTTCTAAAGCTGCAGCAAAATCATGTGTGTTCAATAGGGAACCCAGTGCAGGCTCAGAGAAAGGTCTTTGTCCCTTGCTACAAAGGGGGCACCAGGAATGAAGAGATCATCCAACTGCTGCCATAGACAGGTCGAAAAGTTGGTAGGTGACCAAGGGTGGACTTGGACTTAAGTCAGTGTGGGCTAACTGTACAACGTGGATAAATCAATTAACCTTTCTATACTTTAGTTTGACTATAAATAATGTAAAAGTAATTTTTATTACCAAGTTCACAAGGTTTGAAAATAATGTATATAAAAGTGTTTTGAAAAATACAAAGTGCCATAAAAATATATGGTGTTATTTCTTTCATTAAAAATGGTAGAAATCCATGTTATTTTATGGAAATTTATAAATTTGGCTATCTACGTACATGACTTAATAGATATATTACCTGTATTAATCACTATCCATACTATGAGGAATGATATTGAACTTCATTTTAATTCAGATGATCAACTGATAAATCTCTTCTGAATGATCATTGATACATGATCTCAAATCAAATAGTCATTGATGTTTGGGAGCAGTCATTGCAATAGTTCAAATGGAGAAAATACCCATTTCTAATGGAAATGGTAAACCATATAGTCATATAAATCATTAATACTCTATCTTCAGTATTTCAATGAAATGAGAAGTATTTATGCTCACAAAATTTCAGATATACAACCTAATGCAATACCCAAGCCAATCAAATTTTTAAAAAATTGACTAGGATATAATTCTTGCCCTCTCTCTGCCTTATTTTATTACTCTTCCTTTCTTGTGAGACTAATAATTTCTATTATATACAGGGTGGGGCACAAGTAGGTTTACAGTTGTTCTTGTGGAAAATAATACAATGGTTAATAAATAACAATACAAACAAAGAATATAAAGAATAAAAAAAGAAACAAAGAATAAATTCTGGGTTTTACACACTCACAACTACAAACCGGCTTTTGCTCCACCCTGTATAAATATACTATATATACTACATAAATTTCAGACTCAAAATTATGGGATTTTCTTTCTAAAAGGCTATAATATTTAGAAACCAGGGTCTACTGTTTTGCAAGTAATGATTTCTGTTGAGAATTATAAATTTTATGAAGTTTCAAAATATTTTCTGGATAAATATTCAGAAAACTCACAATAGAAATGATTTATTGAAAAAATTAAAAAATAGACAGGGGATGTCAAGAATAGTATAGGAAGTGGAGAAGCCAAAGAACTTACATGCATAACCCATGGACATGAAGGAAGGAGGGAGGGGGAGATTGCTGGAGGGAAGGGAGTACCAGGTGGAAGAGGAAAAGGGGGGAAAAAATGGAACAACTGTAATAGCATAATCAATAAAATATATTTTTTTAAAAGAGAAAAGAAAAAATTATTATATACCCTAAAAATATGAAGAATTATTTCAAAAAGGATCAGGTCACACTTCTTAACTAATGCATTATCAAGTATCTTTTCAGTGAAACAGCAGAATGACTTTCCTTCAATGGTTTAATAATGAGCTCTTCTGGAGCTTTCATGTGCTATCCAGAGGTAGCACAAACTGCAATATAATAGAGGAAAGATACTGCTTCTCATGTTTGCCATATATATATAAAATCTTATACATATAAAAATATACAAGGTATGGCAAAAGTAGGTTTACTCACAACTGTAAACCTACCTATTTATTAGAGAGAGAGATATTAACATTTCCCTGATGTCTTTGGGTTGAACTAAAGTTAATGTGGAATATGGAACTTATGTAGAGCTTAATATAAAAATATACATCTAATAGTAGTCATTATTTATAATTTTCTTTAGTAATTCTATTTTGAAAATTTTATATTCTTTCTATTTTACTATTACCACAAATTTTTTAATTGTAAAATCAAATAATTTTTTTATAATTGTGTTTGAAAATATGTGGTCTTTAATACTATTTGTGAAAAACAAAGAATTCCTCGTAAGTGTTTATTCATAATTTTTCTCTTATTACAGAATCTATGTTTTGTGATACAAAGCCAATTGATTCAAGAGTGAAGAAGCCAGTGAAACAATATGACCATATTCCCTGAAGTGAATAATTTGCTATTAAATCCTGTAAATATATCAGTAGCAATAGGTTTTCCATCTCCCCACCTACTGTCACATATTATCAGCAAAATACTTTGATTCTTTAAAAGTGTTATTATTTAAAACAAAAAACAACTTTAATATTATATAATATTATATAATATATATGCTATATTATATATATAATATATTGCATATATTATAGCATATATAGTATTGTTAATCAAAAATTGTTATTATATAGCAGACTGTAGAGAGAACTAAGCTTAGTTGTTTATTTTATTTTCATTTCCATTACCTTTGTCAAAGTAGCCTTACCATGTACTATATTACAGGGTAGCTATGGTTGATAATGGGATGTTGGTACACTTGGCTACAAATATTCATCTCTATCATTGATTTTAGTGGTTGACCTCCCTTTAAAAATAATTCATTCTTGAATGGTACTGCATACCTTGTTTAATGTGTATAATCAATTTTTCAAACTCTGTTTTTGAAGCTTTGAAAAACAAACTTTCTACATATGGCACAACAGCTTGACCTAAATGTTCAGCTTTGTTCTACTCTATCCTGCATATCATATTTCTAAGCCTTCTATTAAAAATATGAGTCTGAAATAGTAACATAAAGAAATTATTAAAATATTAAGTAGTAGGAACTTCTGGGTAAAATACTAAGTATTATGAACTTCTGGAACAGGATAACAGACTGTCCCTTTAGTGCATAACACTATGAACCACTATTTTATCTCCTGAAAGGATGAGGGTAGAGAATAAGACAATTCAAGGATAAAGAACAACCTTATACCATTTTAGGATAGGACCTTTATTGTCTCCCAGGAGAGAAAACACAAGATGCAGGTACTAAGTTTTGTGTTTCTTAATGTGCTTCATAGCCCCCAGTGCCCTCCCCTAGTTAAAAAAAAAGTCAAAAATAATTCTAAAAGTTCTTAATTATACTCTCAAATTCAGAGAAAAGCAGCCTGGAAAGGAAGTTATGGGAAAAGTAAAGGAAAACATTAAAGAGTAGATGTCCAAAAAACTGCTAATGGATCTCAGGAGAGGCAAACCAGGTGAAGCTGCATTTCCTACTGCCAGGCACTGGGCTAATTGGAGCATTATACCACTGACGTCCTCAGAAGTGTGACAAAATCTGGATGGGCTGAATGTACTCTAATAAAGGGCATTTAGGAGGATCTCAGAAGAGTGATTTTTAACCCTTTTTATGATGGTCTTTGCCACTCATATTTTATTATTAAATCTTTAATTCAATTGTTTTAATCCAATGGATGACATAAAAAGTACTAATTTTATCACAAAGGAAACAACTGATAAACTGACTTACACAAAAATTAAAAATATATTCATCAAAACTCACCCTTAAGGGATTGGCATGACAGTCTACAAAACTGGAAAAGTTGTTTTCAATATATATGGTTTAGAAAAGATGCGTATCCTATACACATACACATATATGTATATAGACATCAAGATTATATTGATAGATAATCAATAACAAAAATAACCAAATAAAAATATGAGCACAAACACAAAATGACATTCACAGAAAAGGATATCAAAATAGCCACTCCATGGGCTGGAGGAAGGGAGAATGTTTCTCTTTTTTTCTTTATAATTTATCATTTCTATTTTTATTAAAGATATTAAAATTAAGATATAAATTATAATAAGTCAAATTATTCAATACTTAGTAGGCACCAGTCACTTCCATTTCTTATTTTATTTAATCATCAGAGTTGTTCTAAAAATTAGTTGTTCTGATTAAACCAGTATAATGTATAAGGAAATGAGGCTCAAAATAGGTAAGGTCATCTCTTTATTAGTAAACAGAGTCAGAAGTCAATCTCATGTCATGTTAATGCTGTTAACATCATGCTATTTTCAGCCTGTGGAAAATATTCGACATTTCTAACATTTCTCTCTAATCTTATGTAATTTTCTTCTTAAAGGTAGTGAGAAGGATTTCTTCATTTATTTCTTGTGGAAGGAAGGGCCACAGTTAAATATGGATGTGGAAGTTCCCCAAATAGCTTGATTCTTTCTGCTAATTATAGCATTAACACAAATGCATTTGTCCCTATCACCATACAGTAAGTACGGCACAGTAGTTCTTGGAACTCTAGTGCTGAGCCTTATTTTTTAAATGTTATTTATATGTATAGCAGTAGCCCAAGTACAGAAAGACAAAAAGGTTCACCTGAAAATTGTTTTGCTAATCTTTTCTTTTTCCAGTTTGGTAGAGGATCAGTGGACATTTCTCCCTGTCCAAAACATCCACAGAGACATTTGGTCCATGCCAAAATGTACTTAAAAGTTGAGTCTATCTAAAATATGCACAGTTAATACAATTCCCATTTTCTGCAAGATTCTAACCCCAACCCTTCTCCGTGGCCCACGTGACATTACCAACTAGGCTACTGAGGCAAGAAGGGTTATTATTGGCACTAGGGCTACAACACAATTATTGGGCCAATAAAACATGATAGTATTTTTTTATGTATTATCCCATAAACCCCAAATATACATAAATGTTTTCGGCTATTTGAACTAGGGACCATTTTGCCTGGACCAAATGTCTCATTTCAGTAGATGTTTTAGACAAGACCAAATGTTCTGCAAGGTAGTAAACTATGAATTAAACCAAGATATAATTTGATATAATCAAATTGTATGCAAAAAGAATCAATTTCTTTGAAAATATCATGGAGCAAGTAAATGAAGAGTCAGGTTGTTCAGCTGAAGTTAAGATGTAGTTCAATTGTTTAACAAAATATCGATTGAGTGAAAAGGGTACAGCTATTAGGAATTGGGGGGCAGGGCATGACCCTGCACAAAAAAAGGAAATCCAATAGAAAAAAATGGATATTAATGGAAATATCTTTCTGGAACATATAAATTTTTGGAAGGCAGTCTTGAAATTAGTTCATGCTTCAGAATAAGGAAATCGAATAGGAGAGAAAGGCTAAATGCAGTGGTCACATCCCGAGGGCATTACTGAATGAAATTTTCACATAGCAGCCAAGAATTTAAAATTCATCATCAGTATAGCAGTCTAGTGATAATGGTCTCTAAAGTTACTCTGTCTCAGTTAAAAATAATGTTTTGTGTCTAAGTTTATATGTTATATGACAATTGAACGAGTTCATCTGATCAGCAGGAGTCTTGGCTAACCTATAAAGGTTATATACATCAAATAAAATTTTCCAGGGTCTGCATCAATCTGAAAATGAAATCAAAGAAATTGACACCAATCTGAAAACAGAAATGCCTTATAAAGGCAGGGACAGTTTCTTACTCATTCTTAATGCACGTCTGCAAATGTCTGGATACAGAAAGAGATGAAGGTACCCAGGCTGAGTAATTCAGTTGATTATGACAAGAAAGCAATGAAATTACCCTAAGGCAAGACAATTATTCATAAATTAGACATACTCTTTAGAAACACTAAGATCTATATAGACAAAACAAAACTTCAGATTATCTCTCTTACAAAGGTTAGCAGTTGAGTCCCCCCAAAAAGAGGCAGATGAGAAGCGAATAACCTAGGAACCAATTTAAAAGCTGTTTTTATTGATAATATCATCATTTTAAATAATATAATCATTTCATATGAGCAATGGCACATTTGATTGCATACAATATAATTTTTATTTTTGGTCCAACTTTCTTATAGAAATGATTTTATTTTTTGCCTGTAAGTAATGGTGGCCAGACTGGGCGGTCCTCAAATAAACCACTCAGATCCTTAGGTAGCCTGAAGTTGTAAGCATCCTGTAAAAAAATTTGATGCTTTTAGTAAAACTAAAAACTAAAGACATTCCAAGTCTTTCAGTTAATTTTATCCAAAATTTAGAAAGTAAAAACCAGGCATCTCTACTGAAAATTAGCTTTGTCTTTGAGGCAATATCCTGCATGACCTTAAGGTGACAGTAGGTTACATTAAAGGCTGACCTTACAGTTATATTATATATTGCATATTACTGTTACATAAACTATTTAAATTCATAAAATAAATATAAATTATTTAAAGTTATGTAGTAAAATTTTTACACTTTTTTGCTTAAGCCCTTCACCTATTTCACCCAGTTCCCGAATCCTCCTCTCTCTGACAGCTGTCAGTCTGTGCTCCGTATCTCTGAGTCTGTTTCTATTTTGTTTATATCGCTCATTAGATTCCATATATAAGTGAATTCATATGGTGTTTGTCTTTCTCTGACTGGCTTATTTCATTTAGCACAATACTCTCTACATCCATCCAGACTGTCACAGAAGGTCAGATTTCCTTCATCTTACAGCTACATAGTATTCCACTGTGTAAATGCACCACAGCTTTTTTTTATCTGCTCATCTATTGATGGGCACTTGAGCTACTTCCAAATCATGGCTGTTGTAAATAGCAGTGCAGTGAATATAGGGGTGCATATATTCTTTCAAATCAATATTTTGACTTTGGATATATTCCCAAAAGTAGAATCACTGAGTCATAAGGTGCTTTCATTTTTAATTGTTTTGAGGAAAACCCATACTGTTTTTCATGGTGACTGCACCATTCTACATTCCCACCAACAATGCACAAAGATGAGTGTTCTCTTTTTTCACAAACTCACCAGTACTGGTGATTTGAGGATTTATTGATGATAGCTATTCTGAGAGGTGTGAGGTGATAATCTCATTATGGTTTTAATTTACATTTCTCTGATGATTAGTGATATTGAGCATCTTTTCATATGTCTATTAACCATGTGTATGTCTTCTTTGGAGAAGTGCCTATTCAGATCCTTTATTCATTTTTTTTTGGAGGGGGAAGTAAGGAGCAAATTTATTTTGAAATCTGGTGGGTATAGCTGGATGGGCAGTAGACACAAATGTGAATAGCCTGTCATGACCAAAAATGAGCTAGTAACATTAGTTGGACTCTGAAACAGTGAAGGGACACCAAGAATTTACTGATCCCTGGGCAATGACCAGTGGTGCTAGGGATCAGAAAGAATTTAGTGGTTCATTCCTTCTTCATTTATTTATTCAATCAACAAACTTTGTTTGTATTGTTCCAATACATGTGTCGCTTTTGCCTGCCAACACTGCCCTCGGCCCCACCCACCCCACCTTCCCCCCTCAATCTTTCCCCACCTTGGATTCATCCATGTATCCTTCACACTTGTTCCTTGATCTGACCCTTCCCCTTCCTCTCCCTGTTAACCGTCCCCCTCCCTCCCATCCCTGATCGTTTCTTATTTCTTTCAATGTTGGTGGTCATATTTTCATTGCCTGTTTACTTTGCTGATTAGGTACCACTTATAGGTGAGATCATATGGTATTTCTCTTTCACTCCCAGACTTATTTCACATAGCATGATGCTCTACAGTTCCATCGATGTTGTCGAAAAAAGTAGTAGTTCTTTCTTTCTTTCTGCTGCATAGTATTCCATTGTGAAATGTACCACAGTTTTTGATCCACTCACTTACTTATGTCCACTTAGGTTGCTTCCAGCACATGGCTATTTTAAATTGTGCTTCTGTGAACATAGGAGTGCATAGGTTCATTTGTTTTGTTTTTTTCTATTTTATTAAAATTTTATTTAACATTAATGAAATTAAGATTTAAGGACAGAGGCCAATCTAAGTGGCTCTTTCCCCTGCCCTTTTTATTTTTTTAATCTATTTTCTTTATGTTTTCAAATACATTTGTCTCTGCCTTCCCCCCACCAACTTCCCCTGCCCCACTCCCCTCAATCCTTCCCCTTTGATTTTGTCCATGAGTCCTTGCTACACGCTCCCCAACCCTCCCATTCCCTTCCTTTTCCCCCGTCCCCGCCTCCCTCCATGTGTCTTGTCTCTCTTCATTTCTTTTCCTTTCAGTGCTGCTGGTCTTATTTTCCTTGCATCTTTGTATTGTTGGTTAGGTTCCACTTATAGGTGAGATCATATGGTATTTGTCTTTCGCTCCCTGGCTTATTTCACTTAGCATAATGCTCTCTAGTTCCATCCATGCTGTCATGAAATTTAGTAGTTCTTTCTTTCTTTCTGCTGCGTAGTATTCCATTGGGTAAATGTACCATAATTTTTTGATCCAATCAACTACTGATGGGCATTTAGGTTGCTTCCAACACTTGGCTATTGTCAATTGTGCTGCTATGAACATTGGGGTGCATAGGTTCTTTTGTATTGATGTTTTGGTATTCTTAGGGTATAGTCCCAGCAGGGGAATCACTGGATCAAAAGGCAGTTCCATTTTCAGCTTTTTGAGGAAATTCCACACTGCTTTCCACAATGGCTGCACCAGTCTGCATTCCCACCAACAGTGTACTAGGGTTCCCTTTTCTCCACAACCTCGCCAGCACCTGTTGTTTGCTGATCTGTTTTTGATGGCCATTCTGACTGGTGTGAGGTGGTACCTCATGGTGGTTTTGATCTGCATTTCTCTGATGGCTAGTGATGCTGAGCATCCTTTCAAATATCTCTGGGCCCTCTGTATACCTTCCTTGGAAAAGCATCTGCCCAGGTCCTTTGCCCATTTTTTGATTGGATCATTTGTCTTCTTGGAGTGGAGTCCAATGAGTTCTTTATATATTTTGGAGATCAAACCTCTATCTGATGTATCATTAGCGAATACATTTTCCCATACAGATGGCTCCCTTTTCATTTGGTTGATGTTTTCTTTTGCCGTGCAGAAGCTGCTTCTTTTGATGAGGTCCCACTTGTTTATTCTTTCCTTTATGTCCCTTGCTTTAGGAGGCAGATCAGTGAAAAAATTGCTGCATGGGATATCTAAGAGTTTCCTGCCAATGTTCTCCTCTAGGACTTTGATGGTGTTGTGACTTATATTTAAGTCTTTTATCCATCTTGAGTTTATTTTTGTGTATGGTGTCAGCTGATGATCCAATTTCAATTTTTTGCATGTAGCCGTCCAGCTCTCCCAACACCATTTGTTGAAGAGGCTATTATTGCTCCATTTTATGCTTCTGCCCCCTTTGTCAAATATTAGATGCCCATATAGACCTGGGCTTATTTCTGGGCTTTCTATTCTGTTCCACTATGGTCTATGGGTCTGTTCTTGTGCCAGTACCAGATTGTTTTGAGTATAGTGGCTT